TCGCCTTGACAGACATGGGTATCTACCTACCTGAAGGTCTCTCGACTTGAATTTTCAGTGGAAGAAGCTAGTCGGTAACTGCTGAGGAGTGTAGCTTCCTTACTGGTAGGCCATAGACTTAACCTACCGACAGTGAAACTCGGTGCTTCCTGTTTGCCAAGGTGCCTCATATTCACTCTGCAGACCGGGTGACGTAACAGCCACCTCATGGGCTTTGCCCAACAGATCACCACCAAACCTCAACTGAGCCATTGAACTTTTACATCAATGCCTAGGAAAAGTACCCATCATTCGTAAGCTTGCATCTTACATCATCTCGTTTTACACCCCATCGTCAAGATGCCAGTGCTCATATCGCGCACAACCTGTTACTGCAAGCAGACCAAGTTCGCAAAATGCAAGTCACCTGGCAAATGCACTGGAGGGACCCTGAATAGGCATTCAAACTGTCTAGGGAAGCGGGCGCACGCCTCTACTTCATGCGTCGCATTCCTATGTGCTGCGTAAGCCCTCATGCTATCCTTGATTTCCAGCTTGATTGATCTGACTTTGACTGACATGTTGCCCACGACAGGATACTTGTCCTGTGCCCAGAATCGAAGGCGTGCCTGACTGGATGAGGGCCATATCTGAAGGGAAGATCCGATCGATGAATACGCTGCCACTATCGGTAAAAAACTTGTCGGATTTTGAGGAAAGTACGGATGAAGGAACCAATGAAGACAAATACGGTATCAACATCTATGGCGAAGTTGCTACAGGGACAAAGAGCTAGGATCAGTCATCCCGGGAATTTTACCAACTTCTTGATATCGCCATGCACACGAAGGGGCTCACGGAGGGCCAAAAGATGCTCAAGGCGACCAAGGTGGAGGCGATACGGCGGGCGTGGAGGCGGATGAAGAGGAAGTTTGAAGAGGAAGAAAGGGAACGGGTGCTATATTTCACTGAGCTCCGGGAGAGACTTCCGCAGCCTCATAACCTGATGTTCAGTCCGGCGGTGGAAAGCGACGAGATAATCTTGACGAATTACGCCGAGGCGCCGGCGTCTACTAGAGTTGACAGCGAGATCGGCACGCCCGTCTCTGGTGTGGATCAGGAGGGATAGCGATACTACAGCGTACTGTGTAGTGTTTGGAATATAACATATGATGGTTTGGTGATGTCCAAAAAGTCCCTGCTTCCAATGCCGAGATTGTTTCACAGCCAAGACTGGGAAGCTATCTGATTGGCTGAGCGGCTGTCGTAGCAACGGAAGCAGGCATCCTGACGACACTTAGTGGATCGATGCACGGACCGTGACGCGCCCGCGCCCGGGAATTTTTGGCTTCTCACGGGCCACAAGGAGAAGCAAACAGCCAAGAACTCCAAGCTGAAGCATCCCGGCATCACCATCATTTGCTGCGAGATTGACATCCCCGTATCACCGCTCTGCCCACGATTACTTGGAGTTTCCAGACGCTGCCGCCGCTTGTTTCAACGTCCCAAATACCACCAACCTTAATTGCCCCACGAGACCTGCGCCCACTGCCCCTCAATGGCTGTGTATCCGTGACCACCGCCCTTCCATCTCTGCTGGATATTACGAGAGCACATCCAGGGACGGACCCCGCGACCACCGCAATACCAAGATGAACGACGGCGACCACGACCGCCCCTCCCGGCCGAGCACCGCCCATTGGATCGGCGACATAGAGTCTACCGATAACAAACGGCCCGCCACCTCCGCTTCCGCCAGAGGAAGCAATCTCAAGCCCGAAAACATCCCTCCACTACACCCGCCCTCCGCCCTCGCCGTGCCCGAGACCAGCTATTTTGACAGCCCTAGCGGTGATCTAAGACACTCCGATTCCCAGGCCGAGATCGCTGTTCGACAGCACCTGCAAGACATCGAGTCTAGCTTTGACGCCCCTCTGTCACCCATTCCCTCGACCAGCAATGGCTTTGACGATACGTTTGTCTTCGACTCGCCGTCAAAGAAGCCGGCTGCACCATTGCCGAAGGCGCCTGCAGATGATGCCGACGAGTCGCAGATGCTACCCGTCCCGAGTCGAACGGCTTCCGGTACATCCAATAACGCTGACGTGTCCGAGCTAACCGAGTCTGGCAACGACGAAAAGCAGGAGGATACCAGCAAGGCGACGCGGTCGTTGGAGGCATTTTCTTCCTCTCCGACAGCGGCTGCTGCGGCGCGGACGATATCGAGAGCCTTTTCCGAGGCCGTGTCCACCAACGCCGACACCAGCCCTGACAGGACGAACCCTCCCGAAGACGAGCCTTACCTTAATCATTCTACCGAAAGCTCTCTGGTCATACCGCCGAGCAAGGAAGAACCAGCCCACCACAACGATCAAGATTAACCAATTGGCAGCGGGCATCAGTCGACACAGGGAGCGTCAACAGCCAGGCGATGAAGTCTGCCAGCCGTCCCAAGTTCCTCCGGAGTCGAAACGCTAGTCAACGTTCGTCCGTGTCGTCGGCCCTCACCGATCCTGAGAGCGACAATACCGTGGGAATTGGAGATTATGCGCTCCAATCAGGGGGCGCCGTTCCCTCGCTGGGCATGCCCCGCAATTTCAACAGCTTTCTCTCCCGGTCTATCAGCATGGGCAGCATGGCTAGCGGAGTTGATGACATGCACGATCACATCGGGCCCAGCGTCGGTCAACTCGAAACCCTGGACGAAGTCGACTCGAGCCTCTCACCCCAACCACAACCACCACCACACAGACGAGCACCACGTGTCGACGACGAAGAGGATGACGATGATGTGCTGCGAACCCCAACCCAATCCAAATCCTCGGCTGCGCTTGCCGCCCCGACCGATACTGTGCTCGCCCGACATGTTAGAGACGTACACGTGCCAGAATCGCTGGCGAAAGAATACAAGTCCAAGGGGGGGCTGACGACGCCGGGAAGGTCCGTCACGTTTGATAATGTCAATCTTGGGGCGTCCACGACGAGTCGGCATGGCAAGAGCCTGACGCTCAAGGAGCAGAGCAGCACCATTGAGCGGCTGAGCAAGGAGAACTTTGACCTCAAGCTCAAGGTTATGTTTTTGAGCGACCGTCTGGATAAGCTCTCTGAAGAGGGTATTAAGGAGATGATCTCGGAGAATGTGGAGCTCAAGACTGGGTTGGCGGTGTTGCAGCGGGATAACAAGGTGTTGCGGAGGCGGGTGAAGGAGCTGGAGAAGCAATTGAAGGACGAAGACGAACGGCCGGGGACAGCTAAGAGCGCCGGGTCTGAGGATGAGGATGCGCATGACAGGGAGGAGGAGCTGATCTACCTGAGAGAACAAATGGAGGAGTACGTCACGGAAATTGAGAGGCTACGGAATGAGAACCTTAACAGGGAAGCGGAGAAGAGAAAGATGGCCGAGCTTATCAAGACTTTGGGAGAAAGGGCCGGCGAGAGAATGGGCGAGAATCTGGGCCGACAAGAGGAAGCGGATGTCTGGAAGGATTTGTTGGAACAAGAGACTGCCAGGAGAGAACAAAGCGACGAGGATAATCGCCGGCTACGCGACGAGGTATTCCGGTTGAAGCAGGAGATGGCCCAACAAATGGGGCTACCAACAAGCTCATCATCTAGCTTCCACCACAGCAGGAGGCACGCACCATTCTCACCCGCAGCACGACCACCGACAGCCTCGTTTTCGTCCCAGGATATGGACAACGCAACAACTGTGAGTGTCACACTGGTTGATGACCTACGCCGGGAGAGTGAACAGTTGCGCCACGAGAACGCTGAGCTCCGCCGAGAAGTGGGCGCCCAGACCTCGATGTTGACGTCCAGGAACCGAGAGAAGGAGCGCTTGTACCAAGAGATTGAAGATCTCAAGATGGCCCAACGACGAGGCGGCCCAGCCCCATCGACTATCGACAGTCTCTTGGAACGGTCGGCATCCCGGGCTGGTGTTCACGAGCGGTCCCATTCACGCATTAGCGGCGGTGCCACGACAGTTCTCGACGACCTGGACCGGGATGAGCTCGAGGAGAAGCTGGCCGAGCTGCGTGACAAGAACAACGAGCTCAAGCTGCAGAATCAAGATCTGCAACGAGAGTTGGATGCCTGCATGGAAGACTTCGAGACCGCGGTGGAAGCTAAGAAGCAAGCCGAGGAGCTGGTCGCCGCCCTGCAAGAGGATATTGACGCCGCTATGAACGACTTGATGGCCCTCCAGGCGGAGCGTGACGAAGCACTGCAAGAGCATGCCAACCTCGAGGCCGAATTCGAAGCCTTGCGTAAGGAAGCACAAGAAGAGATTGATGCCCTGGAGGGAGAAGCAGACCAACGTACCGGCGAGATCGAGAGACTCCAGCTTGACCTCAATGACCGCACCGAAAACTTTGACGCCTTGCAGGAAGAGATGCGTAAGATGAGCGATGCACTTGTCAGACTGGAAGATGAGCAGGAGTCCAAGATTCGCCGGATCTCCCAACTGGAGCAAGAGCTCGGCGACGCCAACAGGGAGTTGGAGGAACTCGAGCTTAAGCTGCTCGAAGCCAACGACAAGGCTAACCGCCTGTCGGTGCAGCAAGAGTCCAGCCAGGGCGAGATTGCCTTCTTGCGAGAAGAGCAGGAGGGAGACAAGATCCGGATTGGAGACCTCGAGGCTGCTCTCGCTAATGTCGAGCAGAGCCTGCGGGATGAGAAGGATCGTGCCAGGGAGCTGGAGCAACGTCTCGCTACCGAGAGGAGACAACGCGAGATTGTCGCCAACAAGGAGAAGGAAGAGGTTCAGCAGTTTGTCAACGAACTCAACCGGGAGGCATCGACGGCCAAGGACGAGGCTCGGAGACTCCGGAAGAGTCTGTCGAGCCGGGAGGTCGAAGCCACCGAGTGGAAGGAGAGATTACTGGAGCTCGAAAACAACTTGCGCGAGGCGTTGGGTGACTTGAGCGGTACTAGGTCCAGCTTGCTCAAGGTGGGTCCCCTGGCCGTGACGCTTCGTGGAAGGTCTTGGCTAACGCTTTTTCAGAACATCGCCAAGATGCAACGGGATCTCGAAAACACTGTCCGCGACCTCGACTCTACCAAGGCCTCGCTCGTCGAGAAGGATCGCATCATCAAGCAGCGTGATGCTCTACTCGAGTCTCACAGCCACGAAACCCGGAAGCTGGCCGAGATGCTCGACAAGGAGCGGGCCGCCCACCGCAACGTCAAGAACCAGTTTGAGACGTTCCAAAAGACGCACTCTCATGTCACCCGCACGGTTAGCTCCCAAGATTCGCGGATCATGGAGCTCGAGGCCCAAAAGGCTGCAGACAAGAAGCGCATCTCTCAGTTGGAGAGCAGCTTCAAGGAGCAGCTTACGGAGCGCAACAACCTGTTGCTCATTCTCTGGACCCGTCTGTCCACCCTTTGTGGTTCAGATTGGGCACATGACAACAGCCTCATCAACGGGCGTGCCTTGCCCAGTCTGGAGGCTGTTTCGACCATGCTTCCCGGTTTCAGCAAGAACCTGATGGCGGCTGTCAAGATGATTGAGACAATGATTGGCAACTTCCAGACGAAGATCAAGTCGGTCGAAAAGGACCTCTGGAAAGAGTACCAGACTCTGGAAGGGCTGCTGGATCAGCGAACCAAGAAGCTCGACAGGCTGGAGTCCATTGTGCGCAACAACATTGCCACCGGACAACTCAGTAGCCACAGCCACTCTTCGCGTGACGCGGACAAACTTGCTCGCTTGGAGGAGGCGTACAGACAGCTCAAAGTAGAATGCCACACCTTGCGGACAGCTGCGGAGGTTAGAGCCCGGCAGGCTTACGCGGCGACTGGTGATCCGAATGGGTTGCATGATCCCACCTCTCCAGTTGGGGGGAGCCCATCCCCTTCTGTGCCCACTGGCCCCAAGGCTAAGAGCCGGATCCCCAAGACGGGCAGCAGGGGGAGTTCGCTTGGACGGACGGGCGCACCTGTACCGTCTCGTTCCTCAAGCCAGTTCCACTCTCACTCGTCGAGGACCCATCTCGCGGCTGATGAGTTTGGGATGCTGTCTCCTGACGGGGGTAGTAATCCTGCAAACAACAGCAACGGGACTACGCCCCACCACACGGACAATGAAGCTCCTACCTCACCACTACATCAACAGGACAAGACACCGAGGGAGAGCTTGACCAACCAAGCAGCTGGTTCTAATACGGCTTCGGTTGCTGGTTCACAAGGTGGGACGGGGCAGTCGATGGAGAATAAATGGATGCTGAGACTACGGGATCTGGAGTATAAGCTTTGTTTCGCCCCTTTTGAGGAAGGTCGGGTATTGGACTA